TGTGTGTGTGTGTGTGTGTGTGTGTGATTTCTCGCTTTCTGTCTGTGTGTCTCTCCAGTGAGCAACCATGCCCCATAGCAAAATTCTGTCTCTCTCAAAAAAAATAATAATAATAACAAACTAGAAGGGCTGGCCTATAGCTCAGTGGTTAAGGGAGCCAGATTTGGTGGGATTCAAATCTGTGGTTCAAATCTCAGTCCTGGCTCCTTGAAAATCATGCTGGATACATGTGTGTGCATGTCTGAAATCCTGACAGGATGGAGAAATGAAGGAGAAGGGATTGAGGCGTGCTCCTACCCCACTGGGGGTGTTCCCACCCCTCCAACCCCCATCTCTCTGGCCAGTGCATGTGCCCTCTTACAATTAAAAATAATAAAACAGAAACACTTATCTGATCATTTCAGAAAATTTTCCAACTAAGTGAAAAATAATGAAAATACAAAATGGTACGCTAATACACCTTTCCCAAAATTCTTGCTTATTTTGCAAGTAGACCCAATTCAGTGGTCAAACACTGTTTTCTTTCATGCCACTACTGGCTAGCTCAACTGGTAACTGGCCCTTAGCAGTTCTGCATAAGAAGGACACTTTTTTTCAGAAAGATAGATTTTTGCTATAGGGTGCGTGTGCTCACTAGGGAGACAGAGACAGGCAGAAGGTGAGAAATCACCCCCAGAGGGGATGGCCATGCCGATCCCTTCTCCTCCATTCTCCTCTCAGGATCTGGGGCATGCATGCACATATACCCAGTGTGAGTTTCATGCCTCTGGGTCTGGGACTTGAACTGCACTCCACTATGTGGGAGTCCAGTGACATAACCATTATGCCACCTGCTGGTCCTGAGGATACTTTTAATGAGTAGGAAACATGGTTTATGCTTGAGCATGGTTGGAAGGGTTCAAATTACCTATATTACAAATTAGCTATGAGACTTTAATTTGCTTTAAAAATTGGTCTCATCATTCTCCCCTTGTTCTTGGTGACATCTGGCTTAGGGCTCTTTCACCTTGTTTTGTGGTGCCACAATCTTCATTTATTTGGATGATTTTTCTAACTCATTGGATTAAAAAAATTCTAATAATTGGGTTTTTCATTTTTAATTAAAATTTTTTTTTCAAGAGGTTTTTGCTATAGGGCGCATGCACTCACCAGAAAGACACAGAGACAGAGAGACAGAAAGTGAGAAATCACCTCGCAGGGGGATGACCATGCTGCAATCCCTTCTCCTTCATTCTCCTCTCGGGATCTTGGGCACACATGCACACGTGCCCAGTGGGAGTTTAAGCCACTGGGTCCGGGACTTGAACTGTGGTCGACTACATGGGAGTCCAGCAACATAGCCATTATGCCAACTGCTGGTCCCAGGTTTTTTATTTTTAACAAGTTAGTCTCCAACGCTTTGAAATACAGCAATTGGAAGAATTAAAGTCATGCACAACCATCTTCATGGAAATTCTGAGGCCGGTCTGTTCTGTTGGGATTTATCTGAATGTGCATCATCTGAATGGACTGGACTCGAGACAGCTGAAGGTCTACACAGCAGTGCGGTTCATCTTGCCTTACCTGTTAAGAGAGGTGAATCTCATTTGTACAAATGTTCATTCTTTCCTCTTCCTTTTTCCTAAGAGAAAATACATGGCCTCATTGGTGTTAGGTCTGCCCCATTGACAGGGCTTCTTCTTGGGAAAGGCAGATTTTCAGTTCAGTTGTGGATGACAAGAAAGGGGCAAAATGTGCAGTCCTTTTCACTTACAAAGACCTAAATGCCAGTGAGGCTCTGGGAATCATTTGTCTTTGGTTATCCTGATATGTAAGAAAAATAATGTATTATTTCTAAAATTAATTCAATGGGCATAATTTGGCTTTTTGTTTCTTTCCTTTTTCAACCACTCCCAGGAAGGATGGCTATATCTCAATCCCTTCTCCATTCTCTTGGGATTCTAGACACATACACATGTGCCTTGTGTATTTTTTAAGCCACTGGGTCTCAGACCATACAGTTAGCAATGTGGGATCCAACTTCCTTACCACCATGCCACCAGCTGGCACTAATTTGGCTTTTAAAATTGAGTACAGGGGGACCAGCAGTTGGCGTAATGGCTATGGTGCTGGACTTCCATGTAGTCGACCACAGTTCGAGTCCCAGACCCAGTGGCTTAAACTCACGCCGGGTGCATGTGCGTGCGTGCCCAAGATCCTGAGAGGAGAATGGAAGAGACGAGATTGCAGTATGGCTATCCCCACTGAGGGGTGATTTCTTGCTTTCTGTCTCTCTGTCCCTCTCTGTACACATGCCCTATAGCAAAAACCTCTCAAGAAAAAAAAAAAAAATTGAGTATAGGGCCAGCTGGTGGTATGGCGGTTAGGGCACTGGCATTCCACATGGTCAACCCTGGTTTATGTCCCGGCCCTGGTGGTTTGCTTTCTTTCCCTCTCTTTGTCTTTCTCTGGTGAGTGCATGGCCCTATAGCAAATTAAAATAAATAAATAAATACAAATAAATCACTATTTTAAAAAAATTGAGTATAAATGCTAAGGTCTCACCTGAGATAATTACAAAGATGGAGATGATAAAGCATAGTGCTCTCTCATTTTTTAGGCAGGCATTTTGCATAAAACCAATTTGATATCCATCACTAGAGTAAAATGTTCAGATTCCAGTCAATATTTTTAATATTTATACGCTCTTTTGAAACATCTGAGTGGAGAAACAAAAACAGTAACACTAATTAATGGTCAAAATAGCCATGTATCTTATTACAAATATTATTTATATGTTCTTTTGAAACATCTTTGAGTGGAGAAACAAAAACAGTAACACTAATTAATGGTCAAAATAGCCATGTATCTTATTACAAATATTAAAAATTACCGAACCAAAACTCAGTTTTAAAGACTGAGCTTTCGGTGGTGCTTCCACAGGCAGCTTTTTAGTGTGTGAGCTAATATTCATTTCTGAATTCGTTTTTCTCATCGACTGTTTCTCACCACCTGTTCTTTACAGAAGTTAGGATGTTAGCATGATGACTGATGTGAGGGAGATATTCACACGAACAGAACCATTCCTAACATTTTAAGCAGGAGAGTAAACGCCGGGTGAAGGACTGATGTGGTACACCAGCTGCAGAATATTCTAACTGAACAGTTCCAAGAACAGCAGCAGAAGAAAGGACAATCAATTCGGTAATTGGAAAAGAAAACCAGGGTCTGGTAGTTTTAGCTCACATTAACAGGGACATAGAATATAAAGCATTCACTGTATAATGAAATTATATGATGAATAGAGTTTATCATATGTTATTGAATGATATGTATGAGACTTATGCCTCATACATAATGTTCTGTAGGAGTATATTTCCTAGATTTTTTTTTTCCAAAGTCGGAATTTTCAAGTGCTCTTCTAAAATTCCGTTGAAAGTGGCGCGGGGCAAATCACAGCTGTTGAACATCTCGGCAATTCTAGGAACTCCGCAGCTAATGGGTTCCAAAGCCAACTGAGGTTGGCTTATCACACGACAGAAACTCAGACTGTTGATTGGGGTCGTCAAGCCACACACGACTTCTATACGTCATGATACGGATTATTTTTTGAGAGATTCTTGACTCGGCCATCTCGTGACTTAAAAATGTAAATTTCAAGTTCTCAAGTGGAAACTAGCAATTATTTGAGGAAGGAAAAGAAAGATCAGAGTTTTGGAGAGTCCCTTGAAAGGCATGAAGATCCGTCACAGGAGGGGGAAGATGTTCCTACGAGTATTTGTGGGAAATCAGCTTGTTTATCTGCAGTGTTCCTGTGCTAAACATTTTTAGGAGCTAGTTATAAATTTTTTTTTTTCTTTAATTTCTCTTTCCTCAAATTGGGTTGTAAATATCCCATGAGAGGTGTTTTAAGCGACAGGGCTTAGATGTGGGTGTATAGGCTAATTCCAGGCAGAATCAAAGACAGATTTAGCAATAAACTACAACGGGTAGGAACTAAGCAATGTCAGCGTAGCTTTTTTCTGACGTTTCTTTCCAGTAACAAAATGTCAGTGTGACAAACAATTGCATTGTAGGTTAGTGCAAAATAAACAGGATTGCATACGTGAATTTAATAATAGCTGAAAATAAAAATTCAAAAAGGCAAATACAATCTATAGGACCACGGGAGTGCTACAAAAATTAATCATGAAGATTAGCAAGCAAAGTATAGGGAAAAGCTAGAAACAAAAAATGTCACAACTCACAAGATGAAAATTTTTATTTTCTTATAAAAGGAAACTAATCAAATATAGTTATCTTCCTAAAACAGAACTTTCCAAAGGAGGTTTTTGGGGAAAAGCAATAGTATTTTAATAGGCTTTGCAATCTGTAATTCTGTTTGGTCTTTTATAACTTTTCCATTGGTCTAAGGGAGCGGAGAATAGAATCGAGAGCTGGAAATGTTAAGAGAAAAATTCTGCTTCTAATATTATGAGTCAGGAAATAGAAAATAAGACACACACTGCCTTTATTATTCTTCATAAAGGCGGTGGCTGAAGCAGCAGACAGCATCAGCGTCTCTGTGGCGCAATCGGTTAGCGCGTTCGGCTGTTAACCGAAAGGTTGGTGGTTCGAGCCCACCCAGGGACGCCCCATCCCTTTTATCAGATGGTAGCCAGCCGATAGTTTTACGAATCCGAGCTCAAACCTGCTGGCTTCGCTGTGGTGGATTTCCAGGGACCGGAGGAGACAAACCACACACAGACTCACTTCATGGCATCTGGCGGGTGACTCTGGTTTCCGAGCGTAGTGGCGGGATCCCTCCTCCACCTTCCGCCTTCCGGGCGCGCTGAGGGCTCCCGGCGGCCAGATGGACGTGCCTGCCCTCCCCCGACATGGATGCGTGAGTCTGGGTCCAGCAGGCTCCCGCCGGCTGCGGGGGTCCGGCGGCGGCGCAG